CAAACGGGATCGAAAGATAATCTTTCTCTCCCCATTGACTTCAATACATACTTTTTCCGAAATAAGGTCCCATGGAGGAGGTCCCCCGGAAAAGGACCTTATCGGCCCCAAAATTGGCGATCGGAGGATCCCTAATTTTCATGTTGGCCATTTTTTGAGGAATTACTCTTTTGTAGCCATTCAATGAACAGCAGTTTTGGGCTCTTCCACATTTAGCGAAATGTTATCGAAATTCCAATATGACCTAGTGCAATATTTAAATCGCAGGAAGCACAAGGTTCGTTGAAAGGCTGAATATGAGATATTGTTGCGCTTCACAGATATAGCCTACAAAACAGTGTTTTACAGATTAAACAAACAAATTGTTAAAAATCCTGTTAGTGGGCGAGAGCCTGAATTGCTTTTCCGGTTGAAACGTTACTTTATGGTCAGAAAGTTACAAAACACTGACTGTACCATTTGTGTAATGGCTTCTGCATTTTTCTCCTCAGCTGAAAACAACAACACATCCTCAGTTCAAATCCACACACAGGAACACGAATCTCTCGACAACTTCGCATCATGTTTGGCGATGGCCATAGAGAGCGACGCTAAGCTCACCATGTTCGGCGAGGGTCTGGCTTTACCGGGGGGACTGTTTACGACCAGGGCAGCACCGAGACCCAGATACCTGGACGGTCAGAGACTAAGGCTGGAAAGTATCGACGAAGGGATCGTTAAAGATGACAGAGATGAAGAAGAGCAGGACATGGAGGAAAAACTAGCCTGAACACAGCAGGTCTGTACATTTGTTTAAACACGTTTATAGACTGCGAGCTGTGGTGCTTTTGATGAAGTCTGATCTCTCTACATATGGGTACTCAATACTTGAAATGATTAGTGAAGAGCACGGTATTCATTCCACTACGCTGGACCAATTACACACCAGCAGTCTCTTTCCAAGCTTTGTTATGGATTCAAATAGGAAGCCTTTTACTACTGTAACCGTAATGATCTGATTGCTGTAGTGAGCCTAGTGAAGTCTCAAATCCAGCGTACTTTCTATTATTCTTATTTCTCTGCTGCTGTCACACATTTTTGCAGCGTCAATCTGAAATACACACAAAAAATAATAATTATGTGTTCGTAATGATCGTTAGGGCTGTATCCGAATATTCGTTCGTTGGAGTACTATTCGGGTTTCAATTTCGGATATTCGCATTTCTTTTTTTAATTGAATTTATGGAAATCTCCAATAACGTAAGAGCTTGTGCCTCTTCGGGGGGTGCTAACCGTTTACTTTCTCCGTCTTTATGTGTAGATATGACTTTTCTCCGTCACGTTGTTTCCATAGCAACAACAACCGAATATCCGGAACAGCCCTAATGATCATAAACATTGGTTCATTGTCACACATTCTCGTGGCTTACTAGGACATTGTTCAAAATGAGGAACCCCTGAGCTTTTCCAACGATGAGTGTAAAAGTCGGGTGGGAAAAAGGCTTCATAGCGTGGATTGTAAACAAAGCTGCCTGTAGATGTTGACTGAAGTCTTTCCAGGGGCTATTTTAACTTCTACCCCAATGAATGCTAGGACAAAATATAGGAAATAGGAAATGTTTAAAGGTAAACTGTGTATTTGAATTCCTTATAAGAAAACCTCAACAGTGAAAAAGTGTGTATGTGTTGCTCAGGCCTGATGGTATCTGCAGAGTGAGTATAATTAAGAAAGTTCTGGCATTTCATGATTATTTGTTAAGTTATTGCACTTGAACATGCAGCGTGTGCTTGTTCTCATAGAAACCACTCAACCAGTAAAGGCAATTATTACTGTGTGTTCAGTCGTTTCGGCTTACTGCCCGAGGTAGGGCCTGAGCTGTGATGTAGTGAACAGGACATTAAGTAGCAATCAGATTTAATCATTTAGAAAAGACTGTTATATTAATGCACAAGCAAAGTCCCACATTTCATTATATTATGCTTATTGAGAAGTATACACGGACCACATCAGAAATAAATCGTTGTTTATCTTTGAAATCAAAATGAAATTGTGTTCAGAGTTGAAATGTCTGAGAAACTGGTCTTAATCTTCACAATGTGTCTTAGTTGATATTAGTTGGTACATGTGGTGTACCTCAGATACCCTCCATTTGTAAGGAGCGCTTCAGTCTTACCTCGTATCTTTGTATTATATTTGAACGGTACTATACACCTGAGAAGTGATGTAACCTTTTGATTTTCACTATACAGTAAGTATTCAAACAAATATGTGCATCAAAGTTTTGTATCAAAATTCTTATATTAAAACTTTTTTACATAAAATTGTCTGAACCATTATTATATTATGTTTTGTTCGTGTTGCTGTGAAGAGGAATTTTACAACAGCGACCAAAACAACACTCGCCTGCAATATTTAACAAACTGGGGCTGTCCCTCATTAAAGGTCACCTATCGTGTGGTGCAGTGGGTTGTGCGTTGGTGTTGGGATCAGGGTTCAGGTTCAAACCCCACTGCAGTCAGCATGTCGTTGTGTCCCTGAGACACTTCACCCCAAATTGCTCCTGTGGGGATTGCCCACAGTATTGAGTATGTCAGTCGCTTTGGATAAAAGCGTGTAACAAGTAACATGTAATGTAACCATGTCTATCAAATCTGGATCAGCTCCGTTGTAGCCCCGTTTTTAGAGATTTGGGTACGGAGGAAAAGAGAGAGGGTGGTGGGGGGGGGTCCGACACACGGACTGACGGACAACTTCTCACTTCAAAAAATGTTTAAGAAATCTAGACCGCAAAAGAATGAAACAAGCGAGTGCCTGTTTTTCCCATGGATGTATAATAAGAACTGGATACAGCGTCGGAGGCGGGGTCTCATTCTTTCCTATGAGAGCTGCTCAGCCGTCAAAGCTTGAAAGTATTTGGTACGGCTCTAATAATGACCAACATTCGTATCTGAAGAATAAAAGATGTTCTTTGCTGTCTAACGTCGCTCATATTGTTGTGGATTTTTCACAGTCGTCTTAAACTTATAACTTCCAGACATCTTTGAGATGCCATGGTTTTATTTTATTCTCCAAATTGTATAAAAGATTATAATGTATTAACATGTATTAACATGTCCCCGTCAGGGAGAAGAACCACAGCTTCTTTTTCTTTAACAATAAAATGAAAGCATTCTCCAAGTATGTTTTTACTTAAAGTCCTTGTTTACATGCGTAACTGCCGGAGCAGCACATCAACAATTCTTAGCTTTGTGCTACAAATTCAAAATGTCACACGTTAACACTGATCAAAGCTCACTTTCTCAACAAAATAATATTGCACTTAACATCCTTGCACTCCAGCCGCCATTATTCTCACACTTAATATATATATATACTGACGTCCTTTGCCTCTTGCATTCACACAGATGTAGATTATCCTCATACAGAAACATCAGTAAGAAAGTCATAAAAAAAACACAGGGGGGGGGCCTAGAAATTACACTAGTTTTCAAAAGGAAGTATTCTACACTATACTTGTACAAATCTCAGGGTTTTTTTTTTTCATGTGCTATACAGCAAGAAGAAATAGTTTTTTTCTTTCAATTTAAAATGCCCGCAGGCTACTGCTCTTCCTCATTCTCCTGTCCCGAACCCTCGGAGCGATCCCCTTCTAGTCGATCTGAAGACAAACAAAGCAAGATTTCAAAGAAGGGGACAGGAAACGACATTAATTGGTGAGAATACTTAAACCATTTGCACGATGAAATAAATGTGAGAGAGTGTGTTTGTACCTGATCTGATGTGATTAAGGGAGGCCAACATTCGGAGCATGAAAGAAGCCGGGACTGTGATTGTGTTCCTGGTTTCCTCTAGCATCAGCTCATTTCGAGTGATTACCTAAAGACAAAATAGGAGAAATTAAAAAGACAAAGAAGGAATGTGAATAATCTGACAAACGGGAGGAAGGTTTAAAAAGACAAAGTACCCTCATCTGAACAAAAAACTCAAAACATCAGCTCAAATCCACCTCATGTATAAGATCTAAAACCCTGAAATGAACTCTCTTCATAGAGAGGCGAAGTCCCTCCCTTTCCGGGGGACCTCCTCCATGGGACCTTATTTCGGAAAAAGTATGTATTGAAGTCAATGGAGAGAGAAAGATTATCTTTCAATCCCGTTTGAATTGTGCCACGAATTACACATATGATGTTTGTCAATTTAAAAGATAATTTTGCAAGTCAAAAAAATAAAATTTGTCGTTAAAATGTGAAGTAACACTTTTTTTTGTGCAAAACCGCTCAATGAACTACATCTCCCATCTCGCACCACACACCAAGACGGCCGTCACGTTGGCACATTTCACTTCTTTCTTTCAGAATGAGGCGAAAAGTATTAAAGGAGGTGAAAATCACTACAAGTCTGGGCATGTTGAGAGCTGTACATACACACAAGGGGAGTTAGTCGGTTCCGTGAGAGCCAGCATGCGGGACCAGGACTCTGGGATTTGTAGTCTTTCTAGTTGCGTATTTGTCATAGTCTTATATTTCAACAGTTTTACGACAAACTGACTTTTTTGACATGGAAATTGACAAACATCATATGTGTGTGATTCGTGGCACAATTCAAACGGGATCGAAAGATAACTTTTCTCTCTCCATTGACTTCAATACATACTTTTTCCGAAATAAGGTCCCATGGGGGAGGTCCCCCGGAAAGGGAGGGACTTCGTCTCTCTATATAGTCAGTTTCAGGACTCGGTGTTCTTTATTTTCTTGGCTAGAGTTAGGTGACACCAGCAGTTGAAACAGAAACACAATCCATTTATCGGCAACTTACACCATAAATAACATGTTAATAAGGTCACAAATGAACATGTTATATATGGTTTGTTGCACTTGGAGGTCACAAAAGTGTAGGGGATTTAATAGGGGAGAAAAAGCACACCTTAACCGACATAAATGTACACTTCCATTATGTCGCTTAACTATTTGACATCCTCTCTTTTTGAACACGATGGAATATATAATATTGTTTATGAGCAGATCAGCATTAAACAATCGATCCACGGTCATACCTCATTAGCGAGGATTCTGTTGAAAGACGCCGCCTGCTCCCGTGGCGACCAAATCTTGATATCGTAGTCAATCCCCGAAGAAGCCAGAACTGAAACACACGGAAAATCACCGTTACACACTTAAACTCCCCGTGGGATAGTCTTCAAACAGCGTTCAATACTCACTTAGGATCATTTCTGTATTACATCGACATTTTGATCAATAATTAATATAAATAATTCAATAATTCCCAATACTACTACACCACTGTATAGATTGTAATATTAAATTCTCACCTTTTTATTGTTGTTTTATAATGGGCACATGTTTTACTTTACCTTCTTATGTTTATTATTTGATTTTATTCTAAAACAATGATAATAATGATAATCTTGTATATAGCATGTTTCAAACAGAGTTACAAAGAGCCTTCACAAAATGAGAGTAAAATCTAATGTAATAAAAATATACATAAAAATCACATGTTTTAGAAATGGGTTTTTAAAAGTGATTATGTTTGCAGCCCTTATCTCCTTAATTTGAATTAAATGGAGCAACTGTTACAAAACCCAATTTCCTGGCAGGTTCAATGAAGTGTTCAGATTCTGTTTCTGAGTGGGGGTGCGGGGGCACTCACTGGGGTCGTAGGGGTGCGGCTGCAGGCAGTTCACCACGTGGTTGTCGGCCTCCAGCAGCATGAGGTGCTCCCCTGTGTGTCGGTCCCAGATGAAGATGTGGCCGCAGTCTGAGCCGCTCATCACAAAGTTGTCGCCCCAAAAACAAGACTCCTTTATCTGGACCACACGGAAAATATTTGTTTGCATTATTGTTTCACTCTGGTGTTTTAAATGTCCCCTATTATACTGTTTTCCATCAATATATTATAGGTCTCAGATATATACAAAACATGTCTCTGAAGTGTTTGGCTCCAAACACCAAACAGATCATTGCAGCATTACCCATAATCC